CTCCCCCTTTCTCTCTCTTTCTCTCTGTCACACTCCCTCTCTTTCTCTCTCTTTCTGTCTCTCCCTCCCCCTCTCTCACACTCCCTCTCTCTTTCTCTCTCTGTCTCTCCTTCCCTGCCCCTTCTGTCTCTCCCCCTGTCTCTCTTTCTCTCTGTCCCACTCCCTCTCTTTCTCACTTTTACTTTCTGTCTCTCTCTCCCTCCCTCCCCCTCTCTCACACTCCCTCTCTCTTTTTCTCTTTCTCTCTGTTACACTCCCTCTCTTTCTCTGTCTCTCCCTCCCTCCCTCCTCTCCTGCTTGAGAGGAGGGGGCTGGACTAGATGACCTCCCAAGGCCCCCGCCCAACTCTGTTGTTCTGTTATTCCACACACTCACCTGGGCAGAGAAGTCGATCAGCTTGGGGAAAGGCTGATCCTGGCCTTCGTCACTCTTCAAGAAATCCAGCAAGCTGCCTGTGGAGACAGAGGAGACCCTTTTAAGGCAAGTGGGACGTTTCTGGGGGGGGGGAGAGATCCTGGGATCCTCCTTTTGCGACCTTCTGAGAAGGCTAGTCAAGGGGGAAACCAGATTCACTTCATGACCATGTGATTAACCTCACAGCTGCGGTGATTCCCTTAAGAACTGAGGCAAGAAAGGTCGTAAAACGGGGTAAAAATCCCTTAACCAATGTTTCATTTAGCCACAAAAGTTTCAGGCTGGATTACGGTGATAAATTTCAGGCTGGATTATGGTTGTAAATCGAGATTAAGATCAAGATTCAATTCACAAGTGCCTCAATTGTGGCTGTAAGTTGAGGACTACCTCAATTGCGGTTGTAAACTGAGGATTACCTCAATTGTGGTCGTAAATCGAGAACTACTGTACCTCAATTGCGGTTGTAAACTGAGGATTACCTCAATTGTGGTCGTAAGTGAAGGACTACCTCAATTGTGGTCGTAAGCTGAGGATTACCTCAATTGTCATAAATTGAGGACTACCTCAATTGTCGTAAGATGAGGATTACCTCAATTGTGGTCATAAGTTGAGAACTACCTCAATTGTGGTTGTAAGCTGAGGATTACCTCAATTGTGGTTGTTAAATCGAGGACTACCTCAATTGTGGTCGTAAGCTGAGGATTACCTCAATTGTCATAAATTGAGGACTACCTCAATTGTCGTAAGATGAGGATTACCTCAATTGTGGTCATACGTTGAGGACTACCTCAATTGTGGTTGTAAGCTGAGGATTACCTCAATTGTGGTTGTTAAGTCGAGGACTACCTCAATTGTGGTCGTAAGCTGAGGATTACCTCAATTGTCATAAATTGAGGACTACCTCAATTGTCGTAAGATGAGGACTACCTCTATTGTGGTCATAAGTTGAGGACTACCTCAATTGTGGTTGTAAGCTGAGGATTACCTCAATTGTGGTTAAGTCGAGGACTACCTCAATTGTGGTCGTAAGCTGAGGATTACCTCAATTGTCATAAATTGAGGACTACCTCAATTGTCGTAAGATGAGGACTACCTCTATTGTGGTCATAAGTTGAGGATTACCTCAATTGTGGTCATAATTTAAGGATTACCTCAATTGTGATAGTAAGTCGAGGACTACAACTGTGGTCGTAATTTGAGGATTACCTCAATTGTCGTAAACTGAGGACAACCTCAATTGTGGTCGTAAGCTGAGGACTCAGCCGATGATGGAGGGTGCCAGGCTGAGATAAGCCACGATAGGCAATTACTTGTCCTCACCTTTCTCCATGAATTCGGTGATGATGAAGATGGGCTCCTCCTTGGTCACCACTGCATGGAGCCTGACCAGCTTGTCGTGCTGGAGGGTCTTCATGATGTTGGCCTCTTCCAGGAAGGCCTTGACCGTCATGCTGCCCGGCTTCATGGTCTTCACAGCCACCTTCGTGTGTGCGTTATAGACGGCTGTGGAGGCAGGAAAGGCAGGCTTTAGAAGAGAGGTGGGCAACCATGGCTTGTGGACTTCAACTCCCAGAATTCCCCATCCATCCATCCAACAGAGGAATATGTGTGGCTCAGGGTTGAACTGAGGCAGAGGTCTTCAAACTGGGCCCTTTGATGACTGGTGGACTTCAACTCCCAGAATTCCTTCTGCCTGGCTGAGGAATTCTGGGAGCTGAAGTCCACCAGTCATCAAAGGGCCAAGTTTGAAGACCCTGAACTGAGGAGTCCTCTCTGAGCGTGGCTGTTTTCTTGCAGACGTTTTATCATCCGACTAGGTAACAACAAACCCCAATTGCTTCTACAACTGATGATATTCTCTAGTTGGGTCATAAAATGTCTGCCAGAAAACAACTAACTTCAGAGAATACCAAAGACCCCACAGTCCTCCTCCTCCTCCTCCTCCTCCTCCTCCTCCTCCTCCATGTTTCCTAGTTGGGTCATGAAATATCTGCAAGGAAATCACCAAGTTCAGAGACACCAAGGACTGCTCTGGGTCATCCATTTGAGATGGGCAGCCATATGAATGAATGAATGAATGAATGAATGAATGAATGAATGAATGAATGAGAAATATCTCCCTTGGGAATTGTGGCAGGGGTTTTAATTGTGTATCCTTTGCAATCAAAAGGACACGTTCAAAAACCAAAGTTGCGTAGCAGAGAATGCTGGTCGTGTTATGATTCCTCACCAGCCAGTGGACCCGGCAGCTGAGTCTGGGGAATCAGAGGAGGAGGAGGAGGGGGGGGGGCCTGGAGTGACATCAGAGTCGGAGGAAGGCTCTGAGGAGCTCCAAGACTTACGGTCGGACGAGGAGCCTGGCCCCTCTACTCGCGCTCAGGCTGAGACACAGCTGTGCTGGAAGCCTGAGTTGGACAGTGATGAAGAACAGCTGGGACAAATCCAGGATGCACAAAAGCGCCGGCAGGCAAAGAGAGCAGGACAGAGGGATGCAATGGGGCGGCTCCAAAGGCAAAGGAGAAGGTATTAGGAAGCCACGCCTGGGCTGCATAATAAAAGGGAAGGTATGGGAGGTGCTGGTGGCCGAAGGCAACCGTTTGTGTCGAGGATCGAGTTTCTGTGGACTGTGTTTGTTGGACTTGGACATTGACTCAGGTCTGTGAAGAATAAAAGGGGTTGGTTTTTTCCTGC